CACGAGAAAATTATCATTTTTAATTTACTAAGTTCATGTGAAAATATAAAAACAAATATCATCAAATTGTTGAATGTAATAGAAATCTTCAACGTTCTTCTTCATTGTTCTAGGTTAAATATTACTCCGTAGTTCTAATTTAATCAATAGTTGAACCTTGAGAGCTAAGATTTAAACCATATTAATTAAGTTGTAAAAATTGCACAAACATGATACTAGTACAACAAAAAGTCATGTACACTACATTACTAGAATTGAATAGTCATTAATGATTTCTAAAATTTTAATATTCTTTCAATACATACCAAAATATAACATATATTATCTAAAAAGAAAAAATAACAATATATATAAACACACACATTTAGATATCTTAGGGACACATGAATGCATACTTGGGGTATAAAATTGTTGGTCTACAAAAAAGATCTATTGGTATAGAAAAATATATAAAAAAAATCAAATGCATTATTTTTGAACGGTTCGGCCCGGTATTTTTCGGTTCTCAAAATCTAGGACCGGTCCTGTATCCGTTTCAAACGGTACGGTTTTCGGTATGGGATAAAAATCTATAGAACCGTTTAAATACCCGGTATTCGGTTCGATACCATTACGGGACGGTTCGGTACCGGTTCGGTTCGGGTTTTATGCCCACCCCTACCGACAAAGTGATCCAAAAATGACAAACAACTTTTGAATCTCTACCCAAAGTGGTTGACTTCAAAACTACATGCAAATGAACCACTTCTTGAAGAAAAATTGAATCCTCGTTTAATTCCATCACTATGTTATTTGGCATGAAATGAATAAGTATCAAAATACTTAAACAAAAATAAAAAAGAAATATTAGAAGTAAATAAAAATTCACATAAAAGATTCACCAGCTTCTTTACTTAAAAGATTCATCATTTTCTACACGAAAATTAGCATATAGCGGGTTAAAGTAATCGTAAAGAAGGGAAAATCGCATATATGGTCCCTCAGTTATCCACGAAATTAAAATCTCAGACCTGTATTTCTGAGATTGTAAATGTCACCCCTCAATTGTCCAAAATGATGTAAACGTGGTCCTTTTGAGGGGTGAAATATACAATGTGGGCGAGAGTACATTACCCTATTAGTATTGGGCTTAGCCGAAGAATAGAAGTGACCATGCTTGATGTTGAAAAGAGTTTTGATAGGAATTATTTAGCACCAAAGTATAGTGCTAAATACGGAAAAGCTAACTATAAACCTTAAATATGTCAAGCTAATAATTAGTTGACCATATAAATAATAATCCAAAACTAATAACAAACTTTCAATCATAGGGGTGTTTGGATCTGATTCTTAAAACTGTTTCTGCTCTTTTAGAGAGCAAAAGCAAAAGTTGGTGTATTTGGGTGAAAGTACAGAAGTACTTATGGTCCTCTAATTTACTCCTAGAATTTGTTTTTTTAGAAGCTTGGGGGGACCTACTTTTGAAAACTAATTCTGATTCCGCTTCTGGTTTAAAAAGAAGCAGAAGCAGAATCGGTTCCAAACACCTTCATAATTTCGTGTTATTTCATTGTCAAATAGACCTCATTCTTACACATTATGATTTGTTTTAATTCTACTTCCAATTTTTCGTATGATCTACATTTTCTTTTTCACACAAACTATCATTATGTAATCAAAGTTATAATTTATAAACCCTACATACTTTTTTTATTTAACAAAATTACACATTACATAAGGAGCTTCCTAATAAAAAATAAATTTAAATAAATTGATATTCTATTCTAGATGTACCTCGTGCATCGCACGGGTATTTCATCTAGTTTTATATAATATATAAGTTTGTGAATATAAGAGACTAAGTACTTTATTAGCATACCTATGTCACATGGTGATTGGTGAGTGAAGTGTTTCAAGGAAAACATTATAACAATTATGGAGTACTTAATTGACATATCTAATTTCATTAAAAAACTCGACTCACAAAATATGTGATATAAGTATGTATGGTAATCACAGAGAAGCATTTTCACCAGACCGGCTTGACAGCCCCATTTTTTTTTTACCCAAAATGAAGTTTGTGGTGGACACTTCAACCCCACTCTTTCGTCTTTAACACTTATCTAAGAGTTAATACGGAGTAATACTTTATCATAAAAATCACATTAAAGCTCAGATAATTTTAATTTTCTGATGATCTAGCAATTGGACTAAAAGTTGATACTATTGAATAAAAAAAGTGGATCATAAACTATATTTACGGCCAAACATAGATTAGTCTGAAGGGTTTCTATTAGGCCAGTCCGATATAGACACTACTCATTTGTATATATTTATTGGTGAGACTTTAACAATATGAACTAATTAATATATTTCATTTTATATTTTTTTTGCAGATGTGTGGGAATCGATATTGTTATTTTATGTATTTCATGATTAGTTTGTTTGAAGAATATATTTTATGATTAGTTACTTTCGTTTATTACCGCATACATTTGTGGGTGAGATAGAGAGTAGTTGTGAGAGCGAATTTATACAGTGATGTTCTATTTATGGCTATTTATGGCTGATATTTTTCTATTTTGTTTAAAACTAATGTGAGAATATACATGCAATTTCATCCTTAAATTCAATTGTGACATTGTAGTTCTGTTTATGTTAAGATAATAAGATTGTATCCTTAGTTAATAAATCTTTAAGTGTGGGTGGGATTTGAAAACCAACCAGCATTTATACGGGTAAGGTGTATTATTTGTGGCACATACGGAGTATATTAAATTAACTACACAACAACTCATCCTCCTCCAGAATCACAACCATATCAGAAAGAGATTTGTGCAAAGATTTTATTTCAGTATTATTTTCTTTTAAGTATCACTTGTTTCTGTTTTAGTTCGAATAAATTTGGTTTGAATGTTTGGATTTTTGGAGTTCTTTTGATAGGCAGGGTTTCAGTTTCGATCATTTTAGGCCTAAATTTGCTCGTTTCAGGTTTAGCGAGCCATGTTGCTTTGTAAGAGGTGACTGACGCTAAGTCTACTCTTAAGGTTGACGATTGGATCTGTAATTTTTGTCTGAAGGTTGTCTTGTATGTGTTCTCGATTTTAATATAATGGCCGCATTTTTATGATAAAAATAAGGCTCAAACTTTCAATTATGCCCCTAATTTGGCTGGGCAGCAATTTTACCTCCAAAACTTGTAGCAACTTTGATAATATAAAGATATGCATTAGATTTTCAATATGTGTCGTACGTATAAGATACTATGTAGATATCTTAACTAAGATGGTCCAGATATTGTATCACTGTTATATTATTATACTCCTTAAGTACCGGTTTAAATAAACAAAATGAAATGCTATCTCAATAATAACAATCCATATTATTTTATGTGATCTAATTGGATGTATAATCCGTGTTGATATTTATTGGGTATACAAAAAAACTTTTCTATAACATGTTACATTGAGAGTTCACGTAGTTCACATGTATAATACGAAGTATAATTAAGGGGATGTTTGGTAAAGAGTTTATCGACCATTTTTTGGCTGATTTGACTATAGTTAGCCTTTTGACCAGATCAATCAACCAATAAAAATGTTTGGTTAAATGACTTTTTTAATTGGCATCTTGCTCCAAACAGTCAATATTTGAAAAGCCATCAAACGTGACGTTTAGGATTGGCTTTTGAGTATCTTCCCTATACTATCCTTCCGTATCTTCCTCGCACAAAAAACTTCCACCCAAGACCAAAAAAATCTTTCACCGTCCGATATCTTCCGCCAAAGAGCAAAAGTCCTGAGGCTTCATATTCGAACTCTGCTTTTTTTTGAGGAAAAAAGGGGAATATTATTGATAAACCAAGTCGGAATTACAATCATTTTTCAGAAAAACATTAATGAGGTATTTACCTAAATGGGAGTAAATTAATCATTAATTGTCAAAATAGGATTAAAGTATAAAAATTCCCCAAACAGGAGTTATTATTTGTAATTGGACAAAAACACCCCTGAAGCTTGAAGTCATACTGCCGCCAACCAGCACGCCGGACCACCGACGGTCACCTACGTTCGCCGGACATCTCCGCCACCTCAAAACCGGCCGCCGATAGATATCTGACTGATGCGGTTGCCGCCGCTGCAGATATGGCGGACGCCGCCGGAGATCTGGTCGGATCTAACCTCCGATGGCCACCAGCCGCTGCCCTTGTAGATCCGGCCACCGTCGCAACTAATTCGGAATCTGCCATTGTAAATCTGGCCTTTATCATTTCAGATCTGGTCGTTCCCGACACGAATGCCAACTTTTTTATCAAAATGCCATTTTATTGGCACTTTTAAAGAAAAATGCAAAAATTTTGTAGAATAAGAATGCCATTTTGATGGTATTTTGAGATTGAACTTGGCATTTTTTATCAATCAAAGAAGAAATGCCTCTGCAACGAAATAGAAGAGGGAGAGAACTAGAAGAGACCAGAGAAAGGACGGGGAGAACAACCAAAGAAGAGAACATACCTTCGAAGAAGAGAAGATCTCCGACGGCGATGGAGGCGACGGCGGCGGACTTCGCGTCAGCGGCGGCGGACTTCGCGTCAGCAGCGGCGGACTTCGCGTCAGCGGCGGCGATGACTATGACTGGGCAGCGACGGAGGACTTCACGTCAGCGGCGGCGGGCTCGAAGGTGTGATTGTTCCGGTGCGAAGGGGAAGGAAGAAAAAGATGTGTGTGGCGTAGGGGAGAAGATGCGCAGGGGAAGAAAAGAAAGATGCGCAGGGGAGAAGAAACGTAGGGGAAAGAGGGGAAAGAGAAATAATAAGGGTAAATTGGTAATCCAGTCCTATTTAGGGAAAAAAAATTCTTTAGTTTTATTTAAGAATTTAAAGAAGAATTTAGTCCCATTTAGGGCAATAAATCAACATTAATCCGTGGTGGTGCTTCAAGCCGCAGGAGCCTCCCTCCTGATCGTTCTTAGCTAACCGAGCTAATTCATGTACTGATCGATTGCTCTCCCTCTTCACACAGCTGAAATGAACCTCCGAAAATGACATAGCAGCCATCTCTTTTACCTCCTGGAGCAGAATCCCAACTCTGGATGCATCTCGTGAAATGTTTGACAGGTTTGAAAAAATCGCAGCACAGTCTCCTTCAATGATAATCAGCATATTAATCTAGGTTCTGGCCAGCCTCACACCTTCAGCGCAAACTAGGATTTCTGCCTCCTCAACGTCAACACAGTTAGGAAGTCTGCACCATGCGGCTACAAGGACTTCACCCCTGCAATTACGGATGATACATCCAGCCGTTGCTTCTTCAGATTCCGGGTCAAAGCTCGCATCCGTGTTTAGTTTAGACCACCCTTGAGGCGGTGGGTTCCAGAGTTAAAGTTGTGCATTGGTAAGCGTGAAAAATACTATCTAGTACTCTAGTAGTAGTAGATAATAAATTATAGTTAAACACTATCTACATAAATCACTATAATTGTTATAGTTGTGAATGTAACTCTTGTAGTAAACTCTAGTCCTGAGACACTAAAATTAAAGAATTAAAGCTTCAAAAAGATTAACATCAATCAAATTAATGAGAGAAATCTTATATTTTGGTTTGGTTCAGTTTGGTGTAAGTTGGTTTTGATTTGTTATTTTAAAAAAATAAGAAATTAATTCATTTTTAGATTAGTTCGGTTTTATTCGGTTTTATGATTTCGGTTCGGTTTGGTTCGGTTTAATACGGGGTGGGAGTGCTAAAGTATAAAATATAAATATTATTAACTCTTGTATTTATCCATCCGGCCTGGTGTGTTTATCTGTACACCTACTTGTATTTATCATATGTAACAAACCCAAGTGTACAGCCTACTATTTAGGATTAGAGATGGCAATTTCGACCGATCTGTTGGATACCCGCACCGAACCGATTTAGTCAAACTGGGGAAAACCGGTTTGACTGGGGAACGGGTACGGGGCGGGGAATACCCGATTTTTTTAAATGGATAATGGTGCGGTTATGGTTCTATACTAATCCGCCCCGTTATCCGCCCCGAAACCGCCCCGTTCACTAATTGTGCGGGTATCCGCACCGTTACTCGACCCATAACATTATTAATAAAATATAACTTTATATATATATAAGAATAATAAGTATATATGCTAAATTGTGTACACTAAATCGTATATGTCATATAACTATATAAAGACTACTATAGCAGAGGTCCACTTCAAAAACCCTAACATCCATAACTCAGTGTATTACGGATTTATGGTTCAGGGCTCCGCTTCTTAATAGTGAGAACAGCTCTCTTCGATCTTTCTAGATGGAACGATGCAAGGCCTGCAATTCGGCTCTACCGCCGGTGGTTTCTATCTTTCTCATTATCAAGGATTCGACCCAGTTCCTTTTTTCTTCTTTTTACTACTTTTTTTATTATGTTATGAGAGATATTGAGTGCTTGTCATATTAATGAATTTAGGACTAAACCTGCTTGATTGCTTGAACATTTACTTTTGTATATTATATGGTCTTTTAATATATAATTTACTACGAAGGATGTTTACATTAACAAGTAGGGTTAGAAATTGATTATTTGGTATCATTTAGGCAAACGGGTACCCGTGGATAAACCGATTCCCCGTTGGGGCGGTTACGGTTCAAATAAAAATTACCCGAATGGGTAATGGGGCGGTTTTGGGGCAGACATTTATCTAACGGGGCGATTTCGGTTTTATGTGTACCCGTCCCCGATCCGCCCCGTTGCCATCCCTATTTAGGATCTAGCAACTACTCTCACGTGAGTATATGTGTACATGGCTATATATACATAGCAGACCATTCAATGAATAATAAGATAAATCATTCATCCTGCTTAATACTTGTATTTGCTTCATGGTATCAGAGCCTGCAATTCATTGAATTGCTTCGGTCATTTTTTTTTCTTCTTTTCTCAAATGGGAGACCATGCCAATAGCTCATCTCATTCTGCTGGTGTTATTCCTACGAATAACTCTCCCACCCCACAATTAATCTCCTTAAATGCCTCATCTCAAATTCCAATTAAACTTTCCAATGATGGAAGCAATTACTCATCATGGAAATCTCAAATGACTAATCTCCTCTTTGGCTATGACCTGCTAGGCTATGTCGATGGTTCTACTCCATGTCCTGATAAATCTGCACCTAATCTCAGCTTCTGGAATCGTCAGGACCGCCTTGTTCTCCTGGCACTTCAATCAACGGTTTCTGGCCCGGTAGGCCCCATCATCAATAGCTGCCAGACCTCAGCGGAAGCATGGGAGAAACTTGAATCCAGCTTTGCCAATACATCCATCACCAGGATGCTCTCACTGCACAACAGCCTAGCCACCACAAAGAAAGCTGGAAAATCCGTTACAGAATACATGGGAATTATGGAAGGGTTAGTTGATGATCTTACCACTATTGGTCACCCCGTCTCATCCGGCCAAGTCATGTCATATGTTCTTAATGGATTTGGGCAAGAATATAAGGAAACAATTTCTGTTCTCCGAATTCAGCCAACGCCTCTCACGCTTTCCACCCTTCGTCATCATCTCCAACAAGCTGAAATTCTGGCCGGTGACAACCCCGACACCTCTATATCTGTCCAGTACTCTCAACGGCGAAGCAACAATTTCTCTCGTGGCAGAGGGGGCAGAGGTCGCGGTCGACACACCTCCTCCAACCCAAATCCTCATCAACACGGATTTGGTTCTCAAGCAAGCAACTCTCGTTCAACCGTCATCTGCCAACTTTGTGACAAACATGGTCATACGACACGCACTTGTTACAACCGTAATACTCCTTCTGTTAATATGACAGACAAATCACCAAATGCAGAGGCAAATGCAGGATGGCTTCTAGATACCGGTGCCACACATCACGTTACCTCGGATCTGAACAACCTGGCTATTCACTCAGACTATTCTGGCAATGACACTGTTATCATGGGAGATGGTAATCCTCTTCCAATCTCACATATGGGTTCCACAGATATTGTTTCATCCGATTCTACATTTACTCTTAATAACGTTTTGCATGCACCAAAAATCCATCGTAACATTATTTCTGTTAGCCAGTTCTGCAAAAACAATAATACCTCCATTGAGTTCTCACCCGATTCTTTTGTTGTGAAGGATCTAACCACAGGGGCATCCTTGGCCCGCGGCCGGAGTAAAAACAATTTATACATATGGCCAGAACAACCATCTCCACTCGTGTCTCATATCTCTTCCAACATATGGCATCAACGCCTTGGTCACCCAACTCTCTCAGTCCAGAATCGCATTCTTTCATCAAATAAAACGCATGTTCGTCAAGACAAGTTCCCGTGTCAACCATGCCGTCAAGCCAAGAGTCATAAATTACCTTTTCATAAGTCTACAATAAATTGTAATCATCCGTTTCAGTTTATTTTTTCTGATGTTTGGGGTCCAGCTCCCGTTTCTGCTATTCATAATACTAAATTCTATGTCATCTTTGTTGATTATTACACAAAGTACTCTTGGTTATTTCCTCTCAAACATAAATCTGAAGTTTATTCTGTTTTTAATAATTTTCGTGCACTCATTGAAAATTATTTTAAAACCACTATTAAAACCTTGTATACCGACGGCGGCGGGGAGTTTACTGCACTCACACCCTTATTATCCCACCATGGCATACAACATCTTAAATCACCACCCTACACACCCGAACATGTCGGCTCTGCCGAACGCAAACACCGACATGTCGTTGAAACTGCTTTAGCACTCATACTTCAAGCTAAGGTTCCCCTCTATTACTGGCCGTATGCCTTTAAACATGCCACTTATCTTATCAACCGCATGCCCACTCCTACTCTCCAAAATGATACCCCTTATCACAAATTATTTGGGGATATGCCTGACTATTCCTCTCTAAAAGTATTTGGATGTTTATGCTATCCCTGGATGCGCCCCTATACCAAACATAAACTTCAACCTCGGTCTGAACCATGTGTATATCTTGGTTTTTCTACCACCCACCATGCTCATCAATGTTTACATCCTCAAACCCGTCGTATATATCTCACTCGCCATGCACTTTTCTTTGAAAAATATTTTCCATACAATTCCCCAAATTCCCAACCTCCCTCCTCTGACTATAGCCATAGTCTACGTACCTTTATCTCTCAGCTGAAATCCATGCCTTTATCAGTATCACCTACTGCCTTGGCCAACCCATCTTCAACCGATAACACCATTTCCCATTCCAATGTCATCCCGCTTCCATCTCAGGTTCCCCAGCCAGTCTCCACCCCACACAATCCTACTACCTCATCTCTCACACCCACACATTCACCATCACCTTCTACTACCCATTCTCCTTTTTCAGAACACTCACCCTCCCCTCCCACCTCAGCGTCCACGCCGTCGGTATCACCCAGCAGTTCCACTTCAGTACCCAGCCCACCTCCGGTCCAGCCCCACAGACCAGTCACTCGTTCTCAGAACCACATTGTCAAACCCAATCCTAAGTATAATTTCCATACCAGTACCTCTTCCATTCCTGTAGCCCCCACGTCCTACAAACAAGCATCCTCACATCCTGAGTGGCGTCAAGCCATGATGGATGAGTATGCTGCCCTTGAGAAAAACAACACTTGGTCACTAGTTCCCCCGTCTCCTCTGCAAAACGTTATAGGATGTAAATGGGTGTATCGGGTCAAACAAAATCCAGATGGTTCTCTTGCTCGCTACAAAGCACGGCTCGTTGCCAAAGGATTTCATCAACGCCCAGGGGTTGACTTTACTGACACATTCAGTCCGGTTGTAAAACCGGCAACTGTCCGCCTAGTTCTCACTCTTGCTATTATACATTGTTGGCCTATTCGCCAACTCGATGTGAACAACGCTTTTTTGCAGGGTACCTTATCTGACAAGGTTTATATGCAGCAACCTCCAGGCTTTATTAACAAAGCTTATCCTCATCATGTGTGTCTTCTCCGAAAAGCGTTATATGGACTTCGTCAAGCACCTAGGGCTTGGTACTGTGAGCTCAAAACCTATCTGTTGCAGTTTGGTTTTCTCAATAGCCGCAGTGATACCTCTTTATTTATCTACTCTTCTGGCAGCACACTATTATTCTTGCTTGTATACGTCGATGATATAATTCTTACCGGGAACGACTCTAGGTTTCTGGAATCCTTTATATCAGCATTAGCAGGTCGCTTTAGCCTTAAAGACCTTGGCTCTCTATCTTACTTTCTTGGTCTTGAGGCTTCACGGACCTCCAGCGGCTTATTTCTCACCCAACACAAATACATCTCTGACCTACTCTCACGAACGGGCATGAACTCGGCTGCACCCACACCAACTCCAGTGTCTCCAAATGATTCTCTCTCTCTGGTTGATGCATCATCTCCTCATGATGCAACTGAATATCGGAGTATTCTTGGTGCTCTTCAATATTTGTCCTTTACTCGGTCTGATATCAGTTTTATAGTTAATAAACTTGCTCAATTCATGCACTGTCCGACTACAAAACATTGGCAAGCTGTGAAGAGGGTATTACGCTACCTTCGTGGTACTGCTAATTTTGGCATATTCATCTCTGCTAAGACTCCTTTCTCTCTTCATGCTTTTGCCGATGCTGATTAGGCAGGGGATTCTGACACACGCCGCTCTACTTCTGCATATGTTGTGTTTATTGGATCAAACCCCATTAGTTGGAGTTCCAAAAGGCAAGCCACTGTTGCACGCTCATCCACGGAGGCCGAATATCGTGCCATCGCCTCAGTATCTGCTGAATTAGAATGGCTTCGCAACCTCCTTTCTGAGCTTCATTTTCCACTACGCTCGGCTCCAACAGTGTTCTGTGATAACTTAAGTGCCACTTATGTATGTGCAAATCCTGTTTTTCACTCGCGAATGAAACACGTTGCCATTGACTTTCACTTTGTTCGTGAACAAATTCAAAAAGGTCAACTGCGTGTCACACATGTTCATACTCAGGATCAACTTGCTGACTCTCTCACCAAGCCACTTGCTCGACAATTATTTCAATCTCATCGCTCCAAGCTTGGTATTCTTCCCAGACCACCTCGCTTGCGGGGGCATGCTAAAGTATAAAATATAAATATTATTAACTCTTGTATTTATCCATCCGGCCTGGTGTGTTTATCTGTACACCTACTTGTATTTATCATATGTAACAAACCCAAGTGTACAGCCTACTATTTAGGATCTAGCAACTACTCTCACGTGAGTATATGTGTACATGGCTATATATACATAGCAGACCATTCAATGAATAATAAGATAAATCATTCATCCTGCTTAATACTTGTATTTGCTTCAGGGAGGAATACTACCAAACTCAAACCAAATTACTAATGGTTCAGTTTCTGTTCGGTTTAATTCGGTTTGGTACGGTTCGGTTCGGTCAAACCAAACCGTTATGTCCACCCCTAGCAATAAGTCAAAAATTCATTTTTTAAATATCTATTTGCTGCGGTTCTGAACCACAACAAATACTTTTCCTACAATTTGTTGCCCTGCCAATTGTTGCGGTTCAAAACCGCAGCAAATAGCCAAAAATAACCGCATCAAATAGCTATTTTTTTTAGTAGTGCATGAATTAGCAGTTATTAGATCAGGCTAGGCCTCGCCATTACGGCTAAGTAATCACATATTCTTTTTCAACAATTCATGCATAAGGGTAAGCAAGATTCAAGTTGGTTCAATGAGGGACAATTAACGAGATCAATCGGCAATAGAGCGGGGCTAACCCCTGTTCTGAGCTAATGGGGCTTCTACTTCCGTATATATGTTGTATAGAGCTCGTGTAAAGTCAACATCGCACACCTCAGATTCCATAAGTATAGCCTGTGAAATATATCTGATCTCCTATATCGTTATTCTCTAATTGTACTCTGATTGCATCCTTTTTACTTCCGAGTTCATATGTTTATTCATGTTAGCTGACCCAAACTCTTTTGGGATTTATTTTGACATGTTGTTGTATCATATATTCTCGTGCATTCACTTCAATTTCATTTTAATATCTGCAATTTCGAGATTATATTTTTTGTTAGTATGCAGTTGGATGTTGTAGTGGTATTGCTAAGGGAGTACATAAGTGAACCATAGCTAGCGAATATCCCCCGATCTATTGAGACAATGGTCATGAACAGCGAGGTATCGCTCTCATTATTTCTGTTTTTAATGTATTTTCAATCTCTCTTATGGCATCACTCATTTGGTTAACTTTAGTTTCATTCTGTACAGTGTCCATATTTTAATGTATTTTTGGGTGCTCTTCACCAGCTTGATTACATTCACTAACAACCCCACGAAGCAATAAATCATGATATCAAAACTTGATTCCCTATTGGACAGAAAGGGTGGGTCGTCGAAGATTTAATATGGTTGGAGGTGGGTTTTGAACGACGAGGGAGATGAGTCAAAGATTAGGTAGCTCATTTCTAGAGAACAAATTAGTCTTGGCACTGAAACAGAAAGGGTTTTAGATGAAATTGAAGGGTTTAAAGGGAGTGAACATTACACTTAGAAGCTATTTGCCTCACTCTACTTTCTATAAAAAAAATGGGCAAGTAGGTCAACAAAGCGGCCTGGTAACCCTCTAGTAAGGTTTGTCTTTTTTTGGTGCCGACTTTCAAGTTCGGCATGGTGATTTTGTATCGATGCCTCCGGTGTGGGGATTGTTTGATCCTCTCAATCTTGAGTTCTGGTTATTAAGCGTCGGGGATGAGCCTTTATTCTTGAGTTTTCATTACCACAGGTGTTCACATGAGTTTTCTCGGCGAGACGCTACCGCACAAGGTCAGGGGATCTACTTTGATGGTTGGCGGTGATTGTCAAGATGATATCTAATTTTGGGTTAAAGTGTTTTTTCTTTATCACTGGTGTCCAAGAAAACGTGCGCCTTCATATAGGGAAGCAAGGGTGGAATCATATGGGTCCTCTACACAGGTTGGTGGGGAACAAGGGACAAGGACAAACAAACAAATGGGATGCGTCTAGAGATTTTGAGATGATGTCCTTTATTCTCTATTGCACTGGCAACAAGAGAAGGGATGACGAACTGGATCAGGCTAGCAATGGCGGAAAAACGGGGTTGGAGCGAGCTCAGGATAACAGGCTCATCGGGAAAATTGAAGACTTGTTGCGCGAGTTGGCAAATTTACTTATTTCGTTTCTAGTTTTATTCTCCTAGTGCCAGTTTTCTATTTTTGCTTTGGTTTTATTTCATTAGTCAAGACATAAGGATGCATTTTACTTTTGTTGTGAATTGGAGTGATGTTTTGAGGGGTAATCCCTTCCCTTTTGGTCATTGTAGACTTTAACTTGCCCGAGAAGTGATTAGTGAATTGTTATGCTTCTGTTTGCAATAGCAATTCTATGTATATCCCGGGCCTCATGACCGAAGTGAAGGTGTTTATCTAGTGCATGTTCTATGAGTTTTTGATATATCGATATAAGCCTTCATCTTTCCAAAAAAGAAGCTATTGCCTAACTACTATCATTTGTACCGCTATAGTGGATGTTGTAATGGCTAGGTGTCATGACAGTAACATCTCTCTCGCCAAAGGCATGAGCCTATAATGAAATTGATACAATACATTGATGCAATATTCATGGTATTAAAAGTGAAATTTTTATTTTCAAAACAAACAATATATTGATGTTTTTGTTCTATTGTGCATAACTGATGAATATGTAATCATATTAGTGACAATCATCGTCAGCTACCATCATCAATTTGTAATGAATTTGTTATAGAGATCTGATCATCGGAAAACAAATCAACATTTTCATTTTGAAAATTACTATAAGAAAAATGTCAAAAAGTAACTCACTTTTCAAAAGTATTAAACTTCTTTATTATTAAACACTTTCATTCAACCTAAAACAAAAATACTTTCAAAAAAGAAAAATTCAACCTAGAAATTTTTAACCTAGAAAAGTAGAAGTAACAAAAACACTCTTTATGAAGATGAAAAAGAGACTCTTTAAAAGAGCATGAATATAAGGGCACAAAGACACCTATTGATGAAAAATGACTAGTCATCCAAAAACTACATACCAAGAAAAAAAGTGTCCAATTCACAAGTTAACACAGACACTTATTATTCACATTCATTATAGAAGTATATTAATAGACACTTATTATTGACATTTATTATAACAGTTTATTAACTTAGGATTTTAATGAAATTTATGACAGAATATAATGAATGAAAAAAGTCAAAAAAGAAAAAAAAGAAAAGGAAAACGAAGGATGAGATATTGGTACTATACTTTCCTCAAGACCTCACCATGGCCACTAAATTTTAGGCAGGTGGGCCCTCAACCGCTGATCGGCTTTCTATCCCCCATAAAACCGATTCTGGTGATGCTTTTCACCGTAGTCTCCACTCTGCCATCGTAAACAGAACGGATTTCTCTCAAGCCCGTCGATATGTGGGAGCGAGAGCGCGACTGCGATGGGGAAAGCTCGATGGTTGGAGCAGTTGTTCCGGCGGTGAAGTCCTTGGACCCGAGCGGCTGTCGCCGGGACGGCGCAGCGCCGTCGGGTATGGAGCCCGAGCTTGACAGAGAGCTGCTATGTCCGATATGTATACAAATCATCAAAGATGCATTTCTGACTGCCTGTGGCCATAGCTTCTGCTACATGTGCATCATCACTCATCTCCATAACAAGAGCGACTGCCCTTGCTGCTCCCATTACCTCACCACCGCCCAGCTCTACCCCAACTTCATCCTCGACAAGGTTTGGCGCCCTCCCTCACCCCGTCCACACCCCGTACAACTTTATTTAGAAGAACTTACTGTGTTTGTGTCATTTTTATGAATTGCTACTGCAACATTGTCCAATAGCATACTTAAATGCTAAATAAATATGAGTATATGATTGATAATCGAAGAAATAGGTGAAGTATCCATGCTGATTTTACTTTTTGTTAAGCATCCTAGTCTGCTGTATTATTTCTACATATTTCCATTCTCCAGAATTAATGCTACTCCCTCCGTCCCATTAGAATCCGTCCCATTAAAAGGTTCCCACATTTCTTTTTTGGACTTCCCAGGTTCTCATTTCTATTTTAGGGAACAATTAACAATCTTAAGTGACAAATTAATCATTAAATATTAAAAATAGTACACTTATAACATCACAGTTATCAATACTAACTACATTATAATATATACCTATTAAAATTATTTTTCAAAATATACTCGAAGTACTTTATTTAATTATTGCCTAAATAACCGTGTCGTTTTGCTACGGGAACCTTCCAACGGGTCGGAGGTAGTAATATAATCCGGATGGTCCAGTTTTTCTTTATACAGTTAAGTTTTGTTACTAAAAACATTAGTACTCCCTCCGTCCCGCAATTAAGTTACCATTTTCCTTTTTGAACAATCCCTAAATTAACTTCACACTTCCTTACTTTCCTTATTTGGGAAATTATCTACATCAAAACAGTGTCAAACAGTGGAAAACAGTGTCAAACAGTGTTTGAACAGTGCAAAACAGTGCACTCCACAGTTAAGTCAAATTTATTTTCTTAATATGTGTGAAGTCAAACCGAGAACTTAATTGGGGGACGGAGGGAGTATATTACGGAGTATCAGTTTATTATAACAGTGATATAAAACCAAGAACAGTTACAAGAGGAGGGAGTACCAAAACTCCACCCATCAAAACCAAGCAAACAGATTCTACCCAATTTTGACATATCCAATTCCCATGCTTTCAGTGATCAAAGTGCCCCTACAATCTTTAGGAATTTCATACAAATCCCGAAAAGTTAGGTTCCTAAGACTGGTGATGTTCTTAAGAAGAAAATCAGCAGCTTTGTTCCTTTCCCTAAGAGTGTGTATAATTCAAACTGATAACTAACCAGAAGCTTAATAAGCTCCATGGAGAGTAAGGTGTCCTTTCTGCTACTCGTGGTCTCATTGCTGATGAGATTGACATAACCCAAGATATCTGATTCAGTAATCCCATTAGACAAAGTAACTTTGTTGCTATTTGCTATTTAATATAGCATTCATCTCAACATTTTGGACACTAATGGTCAGAGAGTCCTTGATCACAAAATAAGTAATGAAGCTGCCATATGATCTCTAAGAATGCTACCCAGTATAGCCATAGGTCCTCTAACACCTAGCATCAAACCGGGGTTCTGCCTCTCTCTTGCAGTGATAAACATTACAACTAGTCCTCTGAGTTTTACTATTTTAGTCAGATCAACCAAACTAACCCGAAACAGTCTTTATGAACCCTCTTTAGATAACAGGCCTTTAGCATTCTTGGCATTATTTTTTGAAATACTAAATGAACCAAAGAACAGGAACAGTATAGATATGATAATCCAGTGTACTCGAGCATTGAATCCACCAATTCATATATAGAGAGGCTGCAGTAGTTTTATGAATTATGAACTATTTTCGTGTACTAGTCTAGTCTACTAGGTAATGAGTATTGCTTATTTTTTTATGTATCTGCTGATTATATTGTCTGACTGTTTGTATATAAAGGGGGAGAGGGGATATGCTATTATGCTGACAGCATAAATTATGAAGTTTTATTGGCATGGTTTGCATAATTGCATCTTGAAATAATTTACTTCACAATGCAGCTATTTGTTAAAGGTTTGTATGTACCACATTTGTAGCTATTGAAAAAGACATCCACGCATCAAATTTCAAAGACTTCGTCTCCTGTGGATCAATTTCGTCATTCATTGGATCAGGTGAGTTTTTATCTCAAATTGTTTATTTAGCATTTCTAAATGTATTACAACGACAACATCCAAGTCTTAATCCCAAAAGAATTTGGGGTCGGCTAACATGAATCGATCTATGATATCGATGCCAAAAAGAGAAGACAGACAAGAAAAGGAAAAAAAAGTAAGATATCATTTTCATTTAATAAAGATAAATAAATATAAGATAACAATAACACAAGAATATAACAAAGATAAAAGATAAAAAAATAAAAGAGCATAAAAAAGCTAGAAGATAAAAATAACATAAGAATATAAAAAGATAAGGAAGATAAACGATAAAAGAAAAAAGAGAGGAAAGGTAAACAAGACATCAATCGTCCACACGGATGTGCGCCCTCCACTTCGCTCTCTCCAAAGCCATACTCTCATCCAACCCAAGAAGACGCATATCAGTTCTGATTACTCTAATTCAAGTCTGTTTGGGTCTTCCCTTCCCTCTCTTCTCTAACTCTTCTCCCCACCCCTCAAGTCGTCTAACAGGTGCATCACTCGGTCTTCTACGCACATGCCCAAATCACCGTAAACGAGACTCTTGCATCTTATCTTCTATAGGTGCTACTCCCACCTTTTGTCTGATTACCTCATTCCTCAAGCGGTCTTTTCTGGTATGTCCACACATCCAACGCAATATACGCATCTCTGCTACACTCATCTTTTGAATATGGCATTGCTTCACCGCCCAACACTCTACGACATACATTAATGCCGGCCTAATTGCTGTACGATAAAATTTACCTTTCAGTTTAGTCGGCATACCTCGATCGCATAGAAATCCTGAAGCACTTTTAGCATTTCTAAATGTATTAATCGTTTTATATTATTAGCTCCAAATTCAACATAGGGTTATGTTCACTTGAACTCAAGGTTACTTCAGGTTTTAGTTTAAAAAGATGAATTTTATTTCATTATTATTCCCGATGTATCTGTGATATATAACTGTGCAATGAAGCATTTTTCTGACTCAGGGTTTTCCAGGGATTTTATATGCCATATAATGTACAGCTTCTAAAGTATAAATGTCTCGCATTTTTCTGAACACTTGTTACCCTTAGACAGGGTTGGGAAGTTTCAATTAAAGAGCTCGATGTTCTATTGTCAATTTTGGCTCAAAAAAAGAGAAAACTGGAACAGGAGGAAGCAGAACGGAATATGCAGATTCTACTTGAGTTTCTACACATGTTAAAGAAGAAAAAAGTTGATGAGCTCAATGAGGTATGTGATTTTTCTGATTTTCTTCCAACCATAATCAATACTAACCAAATCTGAATAGCAAACAAGGAGACTAGAAGACGAGCAAGAAGTGGTGAAAGAAAGACAAATAACATTTTACTACATACAAGCAGTGACAATACATGATTTGGGATTTAAAAATAAATAACAACCTGTATTGAGGTTGTACTATTATAGTCCACTAATGGTTATACTTTCGGGTTCTTCTGTTTCCCATTGTTGCTTTATCTTACCACCTTTGTTAGACATCTCCGAATTCTCTGAAGACATTGATGATTGATTTGTATTTTATTTTTAACAAAAAGCTTGTTTCCAACACTCAGCCGCTTGATCAAATCAGGCATCTGCAATTTCAAAATCTCAATGGTACCCCCTATAGGAAATATGGTTGACCACCAAGTCTAAACTGATGCAACTGGAACTGAAACACATGCTAACTTTTTTTTTTGAATTTAAAATGAATGAAAATAAAAATATAGACAAATATGGTGGGTTTATAAAAAATCATAAATGAAAAAATGACAACAAATAAAGTATTCACTCTTTTCTCTTTCATTTATAATCCTTGTTCCCTGGCGGATTTATTTCTCATTTAATATCCATTTATCTCCTGTGGCATCCTTCTTATAATCTCTTTCTTTTTCATCTTGGATCCTTTTTTTGGTTTCATCTGTTATACTCATTGGCATATTGATTTTTTTTAATAATAAAAAAATTGCTACTTAATGGATTTCCCTTGCTTTCATCGAAGATAAAAACTGACCTCCGGTACATTAAAGAGGATGTAACTGCTGTGGAGAGACATAGAATAGAGCTGTACCAGGCAAGGGACAAGTATTCAACGAAAGTGCGAATGCTTGCCAATGATCCCTTGGGGGCACAATCTCGGTCTTCATCGGTTGATAGGAATACATTTGGTCTTTTCCCATCTTCCCGTGCTGCACATGGAGGAATATCATCTGGAAAATTGGTGTCCCAAAAAAAGGATGGGGACCAAAGGAAGGATGTTTCTGTCACTGAATTGAATTCACAACACATGAGCCAATCTGGCTTGGTCGTCGTAAGGAAAAAACGTGTTCATGCACAGGTAATTATAGTTATGAAAGTCCTCCTAAATAGGCACTGGTTCCATCACAATGTAACAGGTGACATTTCAATGTTGAGTCACCCTCAAATAGAGTCAAGCCAATCCACCATCATCATACCGATGGACTATGGAGAATTATTTTCGCAAGAATTCTGTTCATAGTTGGCTAAAAAAGGGAGATACTATGAAGTGTAAATTTATAATGTCTGCAGATTGACCACAAAGTTATCAAATCAAAATGACACATGCTACTTGGCGTTTATGCAACTTGCATATATTTATATTCAGTTAAACATTTACACAGTTTTGTTCAAGTTATCTAACTTCTGACAATAAGTTCAAGACAGTTATTGAGGGAGGGAGGGATCACTTCTTTTAAAGCCCATGAAAAATCAATTATCTGCATCGCTTTGAATTTTCTTTTCTCATTCTGCAGTTCAATGACCTGCAAGAATTTTACTTGCAAAAGAGACGTCAGATGGAAAACCAGTTACAAGACAAAGACGGGAGTGACCAAAACGTTACGAGAAGAGAAGGTTACAATGCAGGTCTGACAGATTTTCAGTCTGTACTGAGTACATTCACACGTTATAGGTAGGTTTACCCATTCCTACTAGAAAAGATCGTTGATCAGAGAATTTTCAATCTTATTGTACTCTCAAACCAGAAACATTTTTGCAAAGGATCTTATATATCTGATTCTTTTACTAATATATATTTCAATCACATATTCACATCTTTTGACTTTGATACAGTCGACTACGAGTTATTGCTGAGGTAAGGCATGGAGATATTTTTCACTCGGCTAATATCGTTTCAAGGTAAGCTGATTTCTTAATTTAGTAAAATACTTTGATTTCTATATAAAAATGGTTCCTACAAAAATTGTCCAATTCCAAGATAGATGTAGTGACTAGTGACACAAGACACTATATTCGGAATGTTTGTGATGGAAATAAATTTTGATACCATTGTCTTTGACATTTATTGCTTGCTATGTTTTGCTCTCTAGATGCTCTTTTGTCTTGTCTCAAATCTTCTTTAACGAATCTACCTGTGTTCATTACAGCATAGAATTTGACCGAGATGACGAATTCTTTGCTACTGCTGGAGTTTCACGACGCATCAAAGTATTTGATTTCTCTTCGGTAAGCTGTGAATTTAGTGTTTATTTCTTTGCATATATTAGTGGTATTTTTTAGTTCTGGACTCATCTGAAAATAGCTCTTGAGATAGCTATGTTGCTTTAGTTTATGAAAGGAGGCAGGGGCAGCCCGGTGCACATAGGTGTATAAGGGGTAAGCCTTCCGTTGCCACTTTGACAAGAGACCGCTGCCAAGACTTGTAACCGGTGCGCCAAGGCTCCCCTTCTACATTCCTAATTTATTTAGAATGAAAAACAAATGTGCATGAGTATTTGTAATCACCACTCAAGGCATCTGATTCAAGCAACGCAAATCTTTTTCTGTGGTGTAGACGTGTAGTAGTAAGACACATCTCCTGCTTGCAGGATGAGGTCACGAACTCTACTCAGGAAGCAGTATAACTTTCACAAGATTCCTTTGTGGCTCCCTTTCTGAGCAACCATTTTCATAAAGATGCCCTCTGGCCCCCTTAATTTATATGCAGTATTTTATAAATGAACAGACCAATCCTTTTTTCTAGGGGAGAAATAAAGAGTGAGCATATGGTGAAAAAGAGACTGGTAAGAACTAAGAACACAAGAAACAGTAGAAAAGTAGGATAAATTGTCTCTGTTGTTTGGTTGTAGAGAAATGGAGAAGATATGGGTAGAAGTAGGAGGCAATTCATTTCTCTCCCATTTCTTATCACATTAGGAGAGGCGAGTTATGAGATGGGTGAGTGGGTCCTTCCACTTTTAGATTCTTTCTTGAACCAAACATGAAAAGTGTATCATTGCTCTTCTATTTCTCCTCTCTTCTTTTCTTACTTTCCTATTTCTACTCTACAAACAAAGGCTTATATCTTCTCTTTCATTAGAAAATCTAGATAAGGCTCTTTTATTTTTTGCATACATGTTTATGCCAAGGTCACTTTTGACATCTCATTGTAGAGTTGTGGTAGTTATAGTTGTTGCATCAATGCATCATCAAAAATCTTTTTAAATTATCCGGGTATTTGAATTACAAATTTACAATACTTCGTACTAGTCCAGTGATATGGTCCTTTTTGTTTTTGAATTATAGGTCGTGAATGAACCTGCAGATTTGCACTGTCCTGTTGTGGAGATGTCAACGCGGTCCAAACTTAGCTGCCTGAGCTGGAACAAGTACACTAAAAACCACATTGCTAGTAGTGATTATGATGGAATAGTGACGATTTGGGATGTCACGACAAGACAAGTAGGTGCATTAATGTTTGAAGTCTTAAATGTTAAGCCGAATGGTTGCACATGTATATTAAGATAACTACTCCCTCTGTCCTTGAAAAAATGTCTTGTTTCAGAACCTTATTTTCCCCAAAAAGAGACCGATTCAAAAATCAGCTTTAGCTTTTTAAGCAAAATTCCAGTAGCAAGTTCTTTTAGTCATTCACTCCAAACAACCTTAAAGATAAGTTTTGGGGTTTAAGTGTACCTTACATGTAAAAGCTTATAAGTTGGTTGAGTTAACTAAAAATAAAAACTTGTACCTTACTCAAACATTACTCTTTTTTGGTCTAGAGTATTTAAGTTACTGATGTTGTGAACTCATATTCTTATTACATATAATATACAGAGTGTGATGGAATATGAAGAACATGAGAAACGGGCGTGGTGTGTTGATTTTTCTAGAACAGATCCCTCAATGCTTGTATCTGGAAGTGATGATTGTAAGGTATTTTTACCACATTTGTCACCCTATCCCGTTTAGGTGGTGCTTTTCCGAGCCTGTAGTTGTAAATGGTTTCTAGAATCTAGATGCCATCGTGTCACTTCAAATTTAATTGTTGGGGTTCAGTTTGATTTTTTTTAAATACCGGTCATCATCATCATCATTACCCCAGTGCCGCAAAGGCTCCCACCTACGGTGGGGTAAGGGGAAGTCGGATGTACGCAGTCTTACCCCTGTACTAAAGCACATAGAGACTTTTTTCGAATGACCCATAGTGAAAATCGCGTCGAAAAATACATGGACTGACTGTTGCTTCACAATAAAGAAGCTGTTAGGAATAGATAATAAGTGGGCCTATTATCATAGATAATAATAAGTGGGCCTGAAATATTAATAGCAGGGAAAGGGTTATGGGCTATATTAGTAGTTTATCCTTACGGGAGTATTAACTATAAATAGATGTGGGAGTAGCTAAATAAGGTAGGTTGTTATTCTGTTGGCCTTTGGCTTTGGAGAGTGGGCTTCTCGAACAGTCCCAAGCGTGTATGGTGTTCCTTCTCGTTCAATAAACTTTTAGGATCAATTACATCATTGTTATAGTTAGATCTATTCGTTTATATCAGTGAGATTGCAGTCCCATCTATCATTGGTATCAGAGCATAGCTCCTGGGAATCGAAGGTGAACGACGATCAGAATTGAGTTGTGACTTCAGCGAAATTTTTGTTTCAAGTGGTGAATGTTCCGGACGCGAGCTAAAATGGATATTCGCATCGATAATCGGGAGCGAAAACTACCGGAGATTCAAGCAGAGATGAAGAAGGAATTGCAATCAGCTGTGGCTGATCAGCGTGTTGCAATGGAAAATTTGGCGGCAAACATAGCGGCATCCATGGCCGCGATGACTGAATAGCTTCGATCCAGAGAGAGATCGCGATCGTCAAGGAATTCTCTCAGTTCGCAATCTTCTACGCGAACTACTGTTTCTCCCTACAGCTCGTCATCGACAATCGACTCCCTCACGCGTTCGCAGAAGTCTTCACAATCGCAGTCGAGAACTTCTTCTCCTCCAAGTGAAACGAGATCGACAGGAGGTTTCAATTCACAGATTAGTCCGCAGATTTCATCACCATCGCAGTCGGCTGTTTCTCCATACCAGTTCGCAGGTATCCTGGTCAATATCTTCTTCCAGTTCGCAGATGCGAACCAGTTCTCTCCGTTCACTGGCTTTCTTATCGCAGTCACGAACTATTTCAGCCCAATCAGCGTCTCCTAATGCACTAGTTTGAACGTACCTAAAGGAATAAGCCGTTTCAGAAGCCATAACTCCAGGCGCAAAAGGAAAAGGATCTTCAGGGGGCCCACGGCTGGAAACAAACGTTGAGTTGAAATTGTCTACACCTTCAGTTCAAGAATTGGAGACAAAGGATGATATTCCAGAAGGGGCATAAAACTTTGATTCATCAAATAATCTAGAAGAGTCCGAAGTTCACAATTCAGATAACCTTACCTATGAAGCTCAAAAGCATGTTAGTGCAATTGATCAATACCCAAAATATCTTAAACATGTGATGGGTAGAGTTCATGAACTGGATTTAGGTGTCCCAATAGATATTGTGTACCATCCTTCATCAAAGGGAATGTTGGAAGGGCAGAAGCTGACTGAGGGTGTCAAAATTGATGGTATGAATTCAACGAAATATATCCGAAAGGGATTGGGAGTAGGATTGACCGGGAATGATAAGGAAAATGTTAAGGAAAAGTCAGTAGTTTGTATATGTGTTCCAGATGGAGGTGTAATCTGTGCCTATCAGTTTCAGATGGTAGTTACTGAAAAAGGGATCAAGGCTACATATGAAAAGAAAGATGATACATTGGGTGTAGTCTATCTTGGACCTCTTGTGGTTGGTCCTAAGTGGGTGATTTATAATAGAAATCCAGTTTCTATGACTGCCCTACTAAGAGGCTCTTCCAAATGTTTGATTAAAGATGATGACATTTGTAAGTCAGGTTGTTCAAAAGGCAAAGAGTATCTTGCAGAATTTCCTTATGCCAGATTTTTATCCATACTCGGAATGTCATTGTTGGCACCTATCAATTCTGGGTTACAGGATTCTTGTTGGAAAGCTTCCTTTAGCAACTCTGAAATGGAATCTACCATGGTTGTTGATCAGTTAATTGATGTTCCTGCTGTTATTATCAGTCCCAGGGAATACTTCATGTCAGATACTACAACTTCAAGGAGTGGAGCAACTGAAATCCAAGAGCTTGAGTCATATCATGAGGCAAGAGTTGTTAGCAATTGGAAGATTGAGCTGTTAGTGATTGGGCAGATTGGTAAAACTCAATTCCAGCAGGAACAAAGCCACCCGAGTGGTATTGATGTTCTGAAGATGGGGGATCTATTGAGGTTCTTGCTAGAAGAAGTAAGGAGGAAGATTCAAGTATGGAAGATCTTAATCCAGCAACCAGTCAAGTACTGGGAGGGGAAAGGTGCAAGAATGAAGTGTAAGTTGAAGATCATGGCTATTCCCTATCACCCACCCTGAGGACAAGGTGGTTGTTTAGGAGGGGAGTATTGTTAGGAATAGATAATAAGTGGGCCTATTATCATAGATAATAATAAGTGGGCCTGAAATATTAATAGCAGGGAAAGGGTTATGGGCAATATTAGTAGTTTATCCTTACAGGAGTATTAACTATAAATAGATGTGGGAGTAGCTAAATAAGGTAGGTTGTTATTCTGTTGGCCTTTGGCTTTGGAGAGTGGGCTTCTCAAACAGTCCCAAGCGTGTATGGTGTTCCTTCTCGTTCAATAAACTTTCTGATCAATTACATCATTGTTATAGTTAGATCTATTCGTTTATATCAGTGAGATTGCAGTCCCATCTATCAGAAGCGCAGACAGTTTAGTGAACCAATTTGCTTTATTTCATCATATTCTCAAGCCAAAAAATAGTGAATCTTTGGCTCCATTGCAAATGATGGTTTTTTTTTAAATACTGGTATTGAATCCAAATTCATACCAATTCCCGTACACCGTACACAGACTTTGAACCCTCAAATCCAAAAAACAATTGAGTATCCTATTATTCAATGTTTCAAACACAACATTATACGTAGTATTATAGAAATGAGTTGCAGTATTTTTTATCTTACCATTTTATGATGCTATTTCAGGTAAAAGTCTGGTGTACTAAGCAAGATACAAGTGTGATAAATATTGGCACAAAGGCAAATATATGCTGTGTGAAATATAATCCGGGATCTAGTTATCATGTTGCGGTAGGTTTATTATCAAGGTCGTGGTTTGTGTCTTTTTCAGCTGTTGGGGGACCTGTGATAGGTCAGATTTGATGTTTGATATCTTCTGGAATAATGGTCTTCATGATGTGATTCCATATGGCAGGTTGGATCAGCAGATCACAACATCCATTATTATGACTTGAGAAACACCACCCATCCAGTCAATATTTTCAGCGGCCACAAAAAAGCAGTCTCGTACGTTAAATTCTTGTCCAACCATGAGCTTGCATCAGCATCAACTGACAGTACTCTTCGGCTATGGGATGTTAAACAAAACTCCCCTGTAAGTAAAATCTCTAAGATGCGAGTCTTTCTCACACCAACCATTTTAGCAACATTTCCACTGCTTTTGTTTTGGCCTTTTGGGCACACAAATATTTTTTTGTTCCTGCAATTGTGACATTTATAATTTTGGCTTCTATAAAATTGTTATTTTTGTCTGTCCGTCGGCATTCGTTTTAAAAAATTGACATGGCTCAGTGAACTATAATCTTGCTTTCCCATGTCAACTTCATGCAACTCATCAATGACTACTCATCAAATTAGAGCTAAGTGAATCTTTTAACCAACCCCCTTCCAATTTACATCTCCCGGGATCTTTGGAAATATAATATGAAGCATTTTATTCAATTAGCTTTTAAAGGTTGACTGGAGTTCTGAGTCACATCATTTTTTTTAAATGTGAGTTTGAATGAGAGTAAAAAGAAAATGACCTAAATTCTAGGGATGAATAAGTAAAAATGGTTTTTGCAGGGACCTACAACAAAAAATAATGTATTGTGTGTGATGAAAACTATATTTAAGCTTTGATTTTAATATAGTGAAGGCGACAACTGTCATGAGTCATTGAGTGGGTGATACATTCTTTATAATGCTCTGCGACCGATCCATTTTGCTTGCAGGTCCGTGTTTTTAGAGGGCATACAAATGAGAAAAATTTTGTTGGTTTGACAGTGAATAACGAGTTCATCTCTTGCGGGAGTGAAACCAATGAAGTCTTTGTTTACCACAAGGTCAGTGCAATTTTTTCAAAATAACCACATTCTTTATCATACTAAACAAGTTAAATTTGAGTAAATTTCTGGCCGGATGTGCCAACTAATTGACAAATTTAAAAGTATGCTGAAAAAGTACTTTCCGAAATGAGTTAAAAAATGATTTCCTAAAAGATGAAGGTAGAGGAGAGGTGCCATTTTTTCATATTAAGGGATGTGGTCAAATAGCTGGTGTTTGGTAGAAAATCTGACTAATGCGGGCTTTGTTATGGCCACCTCGACAGGCAATCAAGAATCCAGTGACTTGGCATAGGTTTGGTACCCCCGAGCTGGAGGGTGAGGACGAAGACATGGCATCTTTCTTCATCAGTGCGGTATGCTGGAAGAGTGACAGTCTTACAATGTTAGCTGCTAACAGCCAGGGAAACATCAAAGTTTTGGTGCTCGCTGGCTGATCACCACCCCAACCATCATCCTTGTACTAGTAATAATTATAGTAGTTATTCTCCACAGCTTTGATGCATGGAAGCGCGCAATAATGCGATTTCTCACAAAAGTTTCTGTGCATTGGCTCCAAGTGAAGTCGAGTTCAGTATTATTTTGTAGATGCAGTGAGGGAGGCCAAACCGATATTCTAATTTCGAAGATAGAAAACTTGTTTAGAATTTGATCCCATTGTAGGCAAGTTTAATTTCCTTATTATTCATTAGTTTTTCCCGGATGCACAGATCTTTTACTCCGTTATAACTTTTGAATAGAAACAAATGCTAATAAATCTGTTATTAAAAGAAATGACATATAGGGCCCGTTTACTTAGGACTTAAGAGCTGAATGGAAGGATGACTTATTCGCTCAGCCAATAAGTCGTGTTTACTTACGACTTAATGAAAAACTTGACTTATTCGCTCAGACGAAATATACCTTAATGGTTCAGCCGGATAATTACACTCCTTAGCTAACAGACCCATTATTGGCTTTTTTAACCCTAGCTCTTTCTACCTTCGTTCTTTCTACTCGTTACGCATCCAACAACGCAAGATCAGGAGTAGCACTCCATCTTCATTAAATTAAAAAGAGCAATGGTTCATCTTCGTCAACCAGAAGCTTAACCAGCAGCGCTGACGCGCTGTGAGCTAATGGAGCAAGGATGGTTGCCCGAAACAGCACTGACGAACAACCGGCCGATTGGCTTCTAGTTCCAGCAAATAAGATCTTTATCTCGTATGCAGTCTGTGCTCTTTAGTATATTGATTTTCCCCCTTCGCTTGTAACTAGGGAAGCTTCTCGGTAAGCTCAAAGCGTTGATTAGCTGCTCTATTGGACTTATTTCCTTGGCGAGAAGGGTGAGCAGGGAAAAGGGAGGAGGCTAAAGCAGGGTAGCGAAACTAGGAACGGAGTTGGCTTGTTAGAGCTAGGCTGTTGAATAATTTTTTATTTGTGCTGATGAGATACTCATATTAAATTATTTTTTATTGTGTAAATGAGACACGATTTGGTAAAAAATCAGACATTTGGGTAGTATTGTAAATGATAATTTTCCGAGATGAAATCGCTAATAGACTAGTTACAAAATGTTTATCTTTAAAATATTGTTGTAGAATTCTTGACTTTTTTATAATGTAATGTGACTCCTTTATTTAAGTAATTCATAATATAATGTTTTTCAGACATGAAATAATCGTTCGGAAGAAGGAAAGTAAACATATATAGTACATATTCAGTACTTATTCCAGACATGAGTGTTATTTGGTCATTTAACATAATTCAGACATCTCATTCAGCACATATAGTAAACAGTTTGTTATCTTAGTATCACATAATCCAGACAGACATCTTAATTCAGACAGACGTCTTAATTCATTCATGACTTAATGAAAAAAAAGTAAACAACCTCATAGTGGCCTAGTGGGTAGATCATCCCGTTGCGATGAACGTTTTTGATGTCAGAAATATAATTTAGAGTAAGAAAATATTAACGTTTATGGCGTAACGAGTCATTTCACCATGTGTTGCAAACAATTTAATTTTTTCATCACATTAGATACTCCCTTCATCCCTAATAACTTTCCCAATTTTGACCAGCACGAGGAATAATAAAGTAAAAATTGTGGTTGAGGTTTGTGCAGAGGAGAGAATGAACTTGAACCACAAATTTTTTATTTAAAAGGGAAAGTGACAAAGTTAGTGAGACATCCAAAAAAGTTGACAAAGTTATAAGGGACGAGGGAGTATTTTAGAAGTATAGTATGTTTACAGTACTATACTTCTAACATTAAGATGAACAAGCATACACGAGACACAATTTTCAATCTATTGAGCTTTAAATTTTCAAAGAATTGATATTTTCAAATCAAAATATATGTGAATCTCCTAATGATGTCTTTTGCGGATCACGTTTTTATTTTGACATTTGATTTATAACTTCAAAGGTACTTCTGGTTTGATAAGCGATCCATAAAAAACTTATACAAAAGATAATAATGGAAAAAATACCTACAATACTATGTAGGGATGGACTGGGACGGGTCCATCCATAAAAAAAACCCGGGCCCGGGCTCGGCCCGAAACTGTTTAGGCCCGGCATGACCCGCTAATGTATAGGTCCGGTCCCAGCCCAATAGCTAAAAGGGCGGGCTTCGGGCTATCATGTTTTTTATTCTCTGAATACGAGTAAATTTATGCCAAATTTGACATTACTAGGCTTTAAAACATGTCATTTTTTTCAAAAACATGATACTCCTATTTACGAAATAAAAAACATGATACTCCTATTTTGGAATTTCAAAACGTTTTTGCTCCTATTTAGAGTAATTTCTATACTTTTAAACTAACTTTAACATTGTTTAACTACATGAATCTTATAGAAATAAAGAATTGGTTTTTGAATTACAATTTTTGTCTACCAAGGAAGGTTGACATGAGTCACGAGGAATTTTCTTAATGTTACAATAGTATGTATGAGATTACTTTTTGTAGAATAATATTATATTTCTAATTCATATATAATATATATAGTGCATATTATATTTGCTAAAATAATTAAAGTTTATTATCTATGCAATAGTTTTTTAGAACGTAAGAAGTAAATGAATTGTGTAATTTAATTCAATAAACATTTATAACTTGGATTCACTTCACATAATCTAAAAACTATGTAACTAGTGTGTCTGGTATTTAATATCGTTTGATATATATATTACAACATCGTTTACTAGTTATCTAAGATTCTAATAAAGAGAATTAAACATTACAAAACTAAGAATTTTTATATAATAAGTATCCTAAATCTTAAACAATTAGTTGTTACGTTGTTTGTTTATTTCATTTTCATTTTCATTTATCCCAGTGTCGCAAAGGCTCCCACCTACGGTGGGGTAAGGGGGGTCGGATGTACGTAGTCTTACCCCTGTACTAAAGCATAGAGAGACTATTTTCGGATGACCCGTAGTGAATATCACATCCAAAATTGCATGGACTAACTCCTGTTTCATAACAAAGAAGTGCAGACAGTTTAGTGAGACATTTTGCTTTATTCCATCATAATCTTAAGGAAAAAATAATGAATCTTTGGCTTCATTGCAAATGATGGACACTATTATTTATTTATTTAAGTTATGTAAATTATTTTAGATGTTCCTTCTTTTAAATCTCTAATGAAGTATGGGACCAGATATGATATGGGACAATTTTAGTGGGACTTCCCGAAAAGATAAAACAGGACAATATAAGAGGGACGGAGGGAGTATTACATTATGTAAGACTATATATTAATTTTAAAACTAAAAGTTAAAGGCGACGAATCTAATTAAAGTATGAAAATTTTACAAAAATATTACATATACAGTAGAAAACCTTGAAAGTTCAGGGCCATGTACAAAAATCCATCACTGGCAGTGTACAAAAATGTGTACCCATTCAACATTTAATTGTATTCAACATTTAATTGTGTTTGAAATTGATTATTTTAAATGGGATCAGATAATGCAGGTTCTTTATTCTCTGCCCCAGAGTGAAAATGGTCTTTCTCTAAAGTCTCGGAATACCCCCTCCCCTTTTTCTTCATTCATTGCTTCCTTTTCAATTTCTTATTCTGGAAATGGGGATGAATGGGCCAATGATAATCCAGTCTCCATGGCTACGCCTTGCTCTCAGCTCGTCTGATATCTGAGGAGCCTCCACCACCTGTATATGTGTACGTTTAATTGTTGTATACATCTACGCTTTTGTCTGTGTGCTTTTTGTACATTTTGTGTGTGGATTTTTCCGCTTCCCCCCTCTGTTATGTTGTTCGTCGGGAAGCTTAAAATTGAAAGGTGGAATTATATGATCTTATCTGTTAATGGAGTGATTCATGTGGAAAAAGAACCTGTTTTTATTAGTTGATTGATAAGACAAAGGGAGAAAGAAATGTATGGCGCAAGGGCTCATACTCAGAGCCTGAAGGATTTGGCGTTAGAATACGGGTCGCAGATCACGACACTCCGACCGAGCATTTACGCCCGGAGGGCGAACCTGAGGGTGAAATTCCAGGATCTGTATGGTTTCACGGTGGAGGGAAATGTGGATGATGTGAATGTGTTGAATGAGGTGAGGGAAAAGGTGAGGGAGCAGGCGAGGGTATGGTGGTCATTGGAGGCCAGCAAGGGTTCCAATTGGTACCTCCAAACTCATGCCTACTCAACTCTCAAGTCTTCCCTCAAGTTCTCTGCTCTTGTCAATGCCATCACCCTCAAGCGCCTCATCCGTAAGGGCATCCCTCCCGCCCTCCGGCCTAAGGTCTGGTTTTCCCTTTCTGGTGCCGCAAAGAAGAAATCCACTGTCCCGGAGAGCTACTACGACGATCTCACCAAGGCCGTTCAGGACAAGGTCACCCCTGCCACCAAGCAGATTGACCATGTCAGCGCCTCTTTCTTTGCCTTCTTAGTTTAACTTCTTGTATTTAAAAAATTGTACGTACTGTTTTTTCATTTTTGTATCTTACATAAGTTGTATATAGCACAAATAGATTTATTCAAACGAGAGTATAAAATAGCAAGTGAAGAAAGAAGAGTTAGTTCATGGTTAATGGTGATTGTGGCAAGTAATATTAGATAGATGGAGAATTTTTCTTTTGAATTCCTTATCCTAGTATTTGTAACAAAGGAAGTGCAACACTTAATCTATTGCGAAAATGAAGAGGATGGGGTTTTAATATCAAACTTAAGTTTGATTCAGTAGTTTCTTCCGGAACATACAGCTCATAGGCATAGTTCTAAATGTTGTGGGAAAAAGTTTTTTTTTTGTTTCCCATATGCCTATGCTAAAGATTATTAGTATTATTACTATTTGTAAAGACTTTCAACTGCCATGGTTTATCCGCTATTATAGCGTTTTTTACTTTTTGCAGGACCTGCCACGTACTTTTCCTGGTCACCCATGGCTGGACACTCCAGAGGGTCATGCTGCTCTTAGGCGCGTTCTTGTTGTTTATTCTTTCCGTGATTCTGATGTTGGCTACTGTCAGGTGGGATTCAATATTTCCCCAAAAGGACTAGTGATGATAACTTTTTCATATGTCTGCTTTTAAAGAAAATGAAAATTTAGTTCTTTGAGATTCCTTCATAAAGAAGGCTTGTGCTTTTTTGCATGTCCTGATTTCTTTAGGATACATGGGATTATGTATTCTGCACATGCATTGTTGCATGTTTTTTTAACTAAGTTTACTTTGTGCTGTTTCTTGTTTCTATAGTGAGAACTTTTATAAGTGAAAAATGGGTGTTATGGTATTTCTTCCTGAGAAAGTTGAAAGCAAGACTATGATTGTTTCT